GTTAAATCATTCCAAGAGTTTCAAGAACTGAGCATGGAAGAGCGTTCTAAACTGCTCAGAGAGGTTGTGGGTTTGTCAGAAACCGATGTTTCAGACATCGAAAAGGTGTTAGAAATGAAACCTTCTCTGAAAATAGAAGTCACTTACAAAACAGAAGGGGAAGAAGGTATTCAAGAAGGTGACGTTACAACAGTTCAAGCTTGGATCACTCTGAAACGTTCCAATGGACTCATAGGCGCGATTCCTCACTCGCCTTACTTCCCTGTTCTGAGTGTAGTAAACTTTACTTGGTAAGCTTCTCCTTTTCTCTCTTTGGACGACTATCATACTTTCTCTTTTGTGTTTTTGCTTCTTAAATTTTTATTTTTTCCAATTTAAACAGGCCATTACGGGAGATACTGTTCTTTTAAAATTTGAGAAATCAAAAATTGCTCTCATCGATGGTCTTAAACGTGTAGACGACATTATTCCTAGCTCAATTGGGTCACAGGTAATTTTATCTTCTTTGGTCACTTTTCTTTTCTGGAATTTTTTATCTTATTTGGTTCCTTGTGGCACTTAGCTCATGTGGGCATGTTTTCTGCAAGAAGTGTGGTGAAAATTTTATGCGTGTCGACAAAGTCTGTCTTGTGTGAAAACCTTGCAAGAACAGGAACTTGGTTGCGTTAAAGAAAGGAAGCACGGGTTTTGCTGAGCACGACGATCATCTTGAGGCTAAGGAGTACAAGCATTTAGGTAGTGGCTCTGGCTTGGGGGCTTGTGAGGCTGGTTAAGACATTATGAAACAACATCAAATGTCGAATTGCAATTAGAGAAAATAACCTTTTGATGTTGTGTATATCACTATATCAATTCCTGTATCATTGGCTACAACCAAGAGACTCTGCTTTCTCTGTTTTGGCTCTTGCTTTCATCCTTTTGATCGTATCCTATTTGTGTTTCTTTAGTATGCAGATCAAATGGAAATTTCACATTAAAGTTAAGTGCTTCCAAATCTGTCAATTCGAATTTTCTTTTTGAGTTATGAACATTTTCTGNTTTGTTCATGTTGTACATTGGTATATGGCTCTTCGTTTCTAAGAAAATTGCATCTACCTTCTCTTATGTTTATGTTGTACATTAAGAAGTACGGTGTGCCATGCCAATATATTTTTCTCATGAGAGGGCTCTTCAATTCCAGCTTGAATTAGGTTTACAGANGTATAACAAATGGTATTAAAAGATGCAGGAATTGGGAACATTGGAGATTAATCCTGACAGTATATGACTCATATAAAGGTAANACTCTATGCGTAGGTAGGTATACCGAAGGAAAGATTTTCTTGAGCTGCATTCGCCACATATATATACTCAGTTCTTACATCAACCATGTCATGTGAACCTTAATCCTCACTAAGATTCACCCTCTTTGATAGCAAAAATTAATGTCATTTTTTTTTGGTAATTTTTTTTTTTTAAAACCCAGGTGTCTGGGTCCCACCTTAGGCGGGTCCCAACTAGCGCCGCGTCCAATCATATCTGGCGTGGTCTTGCAGCCATGTTAAATCATCGGGCCTCCATTAATGTCATTTGATCAGTATGAAAATGAACTTTGATCCAAAGAAATTCTATATAAAAAAAGAAATTGAAGAAGAACGGTAAGAGCATGAAGCCTAATTTAACATGCATCTAAAACTAAACATTTAATTTGTTTTAATTTGGTTATTAAGTTAAACCGACAATCAAATCAAATAATAGAAAAAAAATTAGAAAAAAAATAATTTGATAAAAATGTTATTTAAAATTTTTATGGAACGAAATAATCNTATTAATTATATAAAAAGTANTTTAATTTTTTNAAGATTTTTTATTTNTCTTTTGCATTAATTTTAATTTATTANAAGTATTAGACGGGTTAGCGC